ACCAGCCAATCACTGGGGTGGAGACTAGGCCTCCTGCTATGGCTGCTTTCTCTGCAATGGTGCTGCTGCTGCTGTCGTCGCTGGTTTGCTTTGCCATGGCTAAGACCTTGGCTGGGGCTTGCAATCTGGTTGTTGTTTTGTGTGTGGCATGGAAGCTTTGAAGTGGGTTTGATAATAGGGAGGTGGATGCTGGAGAAACTAGCAACATCATTGAGAGAGAGAGAGAGAGAGAGAGAGAGAGAGAGAGAGAGAGAGAGGGTTTGTTTCTAGTTTGCTGAATTCACATGTTGGAACCAGTTTGATGTATTTACAGTAGAGCAACCATAGAGTCAATTCAATTTAAGACCAACCAATTTCATTATTTTATTATCATAAAAGTGTCTCCGTCATCTACTCTTTTCTTTTCTATGGCCAAAAAGAAAAGAAAAAAGAAAAAGAAAAAAACTCTTCTACATAATTACTAGCTTGTTTCAGCGCACCAAAAGCTAGCATGAAATGGGAGCCGCAGCAGAGCTTGCTTTTAACGGTAAAGCCGTCTACAAGTTGAGCTTGAGCTTCAAAGCGAGTTAGCTCATCCATACAAATAAAACTTACTTTATTTTGTAATGAATGCTTATTTAAAAGCTGTCCAATTGAAATCAAGTCAGCTACTAGCAGGCAACACTTGGGTACAGTTACTCTATAACCAAATCTACCATATTTTGTTGCACTCTTCCATCAGAGATCGACACCTTAGGTCCCATGTCACATGGGCACCATTTACCACACAATCACTGCCACCTGGTATATTAGACACCCAATAATATAAAGATAAACAGAATTTACACGTCACCTGCTGAATAACATAAAAAAGCAGAGCAAATAAGACTCGAAGCCAAACTTGATTTAATAGAACTATCTACAAGCGTTTTTACATGCCCCCATTTTTCCCAAAAAAAAAAAACTGGTTGGACAAAAAACTGAAGCCAAAAACAATGACAATTTTCAAGTTTCTTTTTCCCTCCATATGCTCTCCCCAACACCCCCTTTTGAAACTGACTCTTCCCCAACTAGAGCCGCGCATAACTGTCATTTGAATAACATACAGCAACGGCTATGTGAGAGAACCAAGTAGGGATAAAATACTAACGACTTTTTGAACTTGAAAAACATTGCATCCAAACCCCTTTTCTTTTTCCTTAAAACATTATATATATATATATATGCTTGTCCAAGATCAGGGAAAATCACTAACAGTTCTACCAACCAATCTAAATCTAATCTGAGGTTCTCTGTTTTCCAAACTAGAAAAAGGGCAGCATCAACAAAACATAAACATTGACAGATTTACTGACTGTCAACGATGCTTCTTTGAAGACTTGCTGTACTCGACAACATCATCGTCCTCCTCATCGTCCTCACCATTGTCATCCGAATCTGCAGCTTCATCTCTCTTCCTCTTCATTTGAGAAGAAGAAGAAGAAGAAGGGGGCGGCAACACCTGAACTTCATCATCTTCATCGTCTTCAACTTCCTCCTCTTCACCATCACCTTCTTCATTTCCTGCATCCATGTCACTGCCACCAGCATCCTCTTCCTCAGCCTGCGCCACAGGTTGAACTAAGTAACCTGCACCATAGTCCTCTTCCTGCGATCCAATTGTTTCCGTAAGTTTATAAATTTAAGTAATCATGATAAAATCAATAATAATGATAGTAATAGTAATGAAAAAACAGCCAAATTGATACGAAAAAAATCATCATACAATTACACCACGATTAAAAAAAAGTGCAACTTTGATTTATAACACACTAAAAACAGACACTGCTTCGAATAAACAGCCAATTTATCAAAGAACAACAATCCGCCACCCTTGGGCAACCAACCATTCTTTCGCAGGAAAGTGCCAGCCTATAAGAATACTACTTTTAAGAACCATGAGCGCCAAATATTACAGGAAAAAGTTTGAAGTTAAGTGCATGTCACACAAAATCTTACAAGAACACTCTAAATCATGTAATCTGACATAGGAAGGCAATTGACAATCAAATCAACAAATTCAGGTACTAAATAACAGCAATCAGAAAAAAAGGACCTTCAAATTTTTTCATGACACCTCCAATTTCTTTTCCCACAAAGATATAAACACTGAAGAGTCAACAGCAAATAATACACATTCCAGCAACACTGGTATTACAAGATACATCAGAAAAAGGCATCAAATAAAAGTTTTCTAACAACAATAACAACAAAAAGGTCTAGCAAGAAAATAGAATAAAAGTGCAGGGGTTTTAAAAGGCATATTCTAACATTTACCTTATTACTACACAACTGTTACCAAAACAGAAATCTGATTTTCAAAACGCTTCCAAAACTACAAAACTAAAACAATTAGCTAAGAATAAGGTTCAACAACCTATAACCTATAATTGTTCAAAATTTTCAAGACATACTATACACCACATATAACCACGGAAAAGCACAAACATTATTTCACAGTACTGCAGAAGACACTCGAAAGAATCATCCTCCTAAACCTATACAACCAATCAACATATACAAAGACATATGCAGAAAACAAATTTCGACCCATATGCAGAAAACAAATTTCGACCCATATGCAGAAAACCAATTTCGACTCATATGGAGAAAACCAACAGCAGCCATGTCTCTCCTCTCCAGTGATCTAAAAGAACATCAGCCATAAACAGTTAAACACTGCTACAAAATAATAAGCAAATAATATTATAGCAAACATAAATATAAATGCAGACAACCAATTATTAGTACATAAAAAATGTTCTTGCAAGGAACTCCTCACCTCTTCCTCACCATCTTCATCTTCAAACTCCCCATCCTCTTCTACTAACTGCTCTTCCTCCCCGGTCTCTCCATTATCATCCTCATCTGCATCATCCTCCCCTTGCTCATGTCCATCAATCTCTCCTTCCGTGCTCGTCAACCTCCCTGTACTCTCCGGCTCTGCAAGATCCCCTTCATCATTGTCCACCTCCTCTTCCTCGTCATCTTCATCATCGTCGTCATCATCCTCCTCATCATACTCAACCCCATCCTCATCGTCACTATCCTCAATCTCTTGAACCTCCACCACATCGTCATCATCAACATCCTCTTCATCGATTTCTTCACCAGAATCATTCTCTTCATCATCGTCTCCCTCCTCATCCTCATCTCCCTCTTCACCAGGCACAGCAGCAACCCGAAACCCATTTGCTGTCTGGTGATTTTGTCCATTCACCCTCGTCGCAGTCACAGTCTCTTCCTCGTCTGCATCACTCTCGTCATCCTCATCAACATCAACAACACCTTCAACCGCCTCACTGTGGCCATTGGTCATCCTAAACGGCCGATCCTCACCATCGATTTCACCGCTCCCAGGATCATCCTCCTCGTCATCTTCGTCGTCCTCCTCGTCATCAGATTCCGGCCTCTCGTTCTCCTCCGCGTCCATCTTATCCAAATACTTCAACGACTTGATCAATCCAAAAACCCTAGATCGATAATCCTTGACGTGAGTGACCGGACACTCATACAGATCAAGGGACACCAGCTTGAGCTGCGCGAGCGGCGCGAGATCTTCGACATGCTGAATCCGATTGTTCGAGAGGTCGAGGTCTCTCAGCGAGTCGAGACCGGCTTCTACGAGAAATTCAAGGCCTCCAGCGATTCGATTATCCGAGAGGATTAGCTTCTGGAGATTTCGGAGCCTCGGGAACTGCTCCAGAGACGAAACGCCGACGTTTGCAATTGAGAGATGCTGAAGGTTCTGAAACTTCTCTAGAAGGCTCGGAGGAGGTAGACGACCCTGGACGCACTTAACGGCGCCGTCTAGGGTTAGGGCTCGAGCCGCGGCGTGGTCGCTCTGGCCCTCTAGCGCTGTCTCAACGGCCCGCTCCCAGATCTCGTCCATCAAATTCGAAACCTTATTTTATCTCATACAAAGAACAAAACTAAAATTTATCGCTATTTTTTTTTCTTTTTTGGTATTTTGTAAACAAGCAACGGAGCTTCAATATTTCAATCCCAGAGAGGGGAGAACATAAATGACAGAGAAACTCTAACCTTAGCCGTATCCCCAATTCAAGATCAAAACGACACGAATTCAAATCGTTTTTCTCTGAACCGCTTTAAAACCCTAAAACGTTCAGATGTACGGACGCTCTTCCGCAAGTAGGAAATGCTTAAGGAGCAAAAACAAGAAAAGGACCTAAAATGAAATTGGAATTCCTCTCTCTCTCTCTTTCTCTCTCTTCCCTCTCTTCCCTCTCTCTCTCCTATTGGTATTGGGCGAGTGTGTGAATCGGGATAAACCTCTAGAGGGGGCTCGTAAGTCTTCGGGTTCCGTGGCTAGGGTTCGGGGGCCTGAACCTATCCGTATGGTTTAGGCTGTGTGAATTATTGAAGGATTTCAGACCGTTGGATATACAAGGCGCGGATCGGTGACATGGATGAATGGAAGGTTAAGATTATGGTTTGTTGTGTTTGTTTGTATGGGGAGATAGAGAGAGAAAGAGAGAGAGAGAAGATTTCGGCTTCGCATGAAAGACACGTCACTGTTGTGGAAATATCGGGGCGGTTATAGATATGCCTATACGATTTGACTAAATTACGTGATTGCCATGATTGTTCCTGACGGACGACTTACGTTGCATGTCGTAACTGCGACGCTGCTTTTTGTTTTACCGTCTATTTTACTTACGACATGCTTTCTTTGCTCGTTTAGCTGGTTTGTCCCGTGGTATAAACCACACTTTTTCCCTTCTATAAATAAATATCTCTTCTTTTTTGTTCTTTCTTTTTCACATTTGAAAGGGAGGGATGAAAATAAAAATGTAAAACTGTGGATTTGTTGTTGGGACTGAAACTAAACACACACAAAAAGAAAAATTAAAATGCAATTTGTAGCTCAATGTTGAAAGTATTTACCTATGCACTCGAAGTTCTAGGTTTTTTAGGTTCTAGGTTTTTTAGGTTCGATCGATTCTCCCTCACCTAATGAATTCTGTAATTCTACAACTCCTATAAACAATAATCAAACCGCGTTCAAACCTTAAACAAGTAACTAGGCTACGCATTTGTCACCGAAATACAGAAGAAATACATCGATCGTGACAAGGAAGATACATTTTGTAAGGTCTCTATATACAAAAGTCATACCACTAGGCATCTCCACTCTGTTTGGCATTTTCACTTCCATTTTGACTCCCGCTACCTCTAAGCTCAGTATAACCTGGTGCCAGCTTTGGTGGCAGCACATACAAAACATTTGGAGAAGAACCTGATGACGGTGGAGGGCAACGAAACTGCCTGGTAACTGAGCATGCACCTGAAGCTGGGGGGCTCAAAATTTGAGTTGGCTTTCGTGTACTAGTAAGACCGTTTGAGTCCATACCCATCTTCTGCTCGAACTGTTGGTTAGGCTGCTGGTTACGTTGCGGCTCATCGATGTCCATTCCTTCGGTGCCATTATGAGAGTTCTTTCCTGCCGTCCTTAAACCAGAAGTACCATATGGAACCTGGTGTTGCCAGAAAGTTGTTGATTGATTCAAAACAGTGGTTTGCGCACCTCGAGAATTACCTTTAAGCTCAAACTCCTCTTTACCTATGGCCGGAACATTCATGTCTAATCCCTCATTTGGTTTGATAGGTTTTATTTCAGACAGCTTCTCTCTCTCCAAATAAACTGGTATTTCAACTAAATCAACTTTAGATGTTGAAGAACGGCCTGAAGCGATTACAGTGGTAGGGAATGCTCTTTCTGGAGGAACGGCTGGAGTATAATTAGATGGGAGCAAGTCATCCCAATTCTCCAACAGCTCCTTGTAAACTTTCCGGAGAGTGACTTCAGTAAGACCAGTCACCTTACAAATCTCTGCCTGAGTTTTTCGCTTGTCTTCAAGCTGGCAGGCTAAATATATTGCAGCTGCGGAGATGCTAATGGGGTTCCTACGAGTGCAGAAGCATTTGTTTATGACAACCTCTCCAATGTGAGTTGCCAGTTTCTACAAGAAAGTATGTCAACCATGGTCAGACTTGATCAGGAGGAAAATTCAAGTTCAATACTGTCAGCAAAGAACACAACAATTTAAGTCACTAAAGGAAACCCCTGTGAGTAAACGATTACATAAACCTCATTCCATAGTCTAAACATTGAAGATGTTGCAAGATGCCAATGACACAAATAAGAAACTCATCAGACACATTGTGATAGTGGTTAAGAAACTAAAATGTCATTAGCAGGGTTCCTTAAAAATGTGCCTCCATTTGGCTTTCAATTACATGGAAACTGGAAGATCAAAATGATAGAATCTACCAAAAATTGGTTTCACCAGTTCTTGTGAGATAAACTTTCCACAACTTTTAACTCTATGTCTATTTGGGTTCACAGTTCCCCAACTCCTAATTCTAGTTTGAAACCTTTCTTAGTCCTAATTAATAGGATTTCCCTAAAGAATTTTGGATTGCAAATCCCATGCCATATTTCTTTCCTTTTAATAATCATCCAATTGTATATCATCAGGCTTATGCAGGCAAATGACTTGATCTAAGTATGTTAATGTAATGAGTAGTTCAAGTAGTGCACTCTGCAACAAAACAAAAGGTACCTGAGCAGATTTATTGAGCTGGAGGAGAGTGCAAAACCGAGGCATATGGACGGATATGGAGTTGCTGTTGATGGGCTGACTAAGTTGCAGTGCTTCTCCAAGTATCTTGATGTACTTACCAATTTCCTTCTGGGGCACATTGGCTGCAATTGAGATTTCCTGCAATACAAAACCAAATGCCAAGTCACAGAAGCTCCAGAAACTGGAAAGAACAGCCACAAAACTCACAACCCAATAGGTTAACCACTTCACTTCCACAATACCCATCATCAAAATCCACACTTTTGAATCAGAAATTAACTTACAAGAAATACAATTACAAACCCAATTAGCATTATAACTGAAAAGGTGAAAACTTAGAAGTAAGCCGATTAGCTTTAATCAGTGTATGTATGTATGTACCTGGAGGGTTCTGGGCTCTTGGGCTTCTCTGATGGCCTGCACAAGGGCAGCAGTTGCGAGAGCTTCAACGCTGCGATTCCTCAAGCAAGTAGTGGAGCAACAGTCCCTGAAGAGCTGAAACGCGTGGTCCGAGATGTCGTATTCCAAGCCCAGGATCGAAGCGACATCGATGATTTGCATGTAGGCCCTGAGATTATCGACCACAACGGTGGAAGACGACGGGGATGAAGAAGAAGAAGAGGAGGTGGATTCGAGGGTGCGCTCGAGCTCGGCGAGGTGGCCAGAGAAGGAGAGAGAGGAGCGGAGGAAGAGCGGGTTGGGCTCCAGGGACCATGTCGAGAAGGCGGTGATGAATCCGGTGGGCTCGAACGGGTCTTCGTCGGCGGCGGCGGCGTTGTTGGGTTGGGCTTGGTGGTGGAGGGTGGGGAGGTCGGAGGTGACGAGGCAGAGAGGGTTGTCTTGGGCGCGAAGGTGGAAGAGGTGGTGGAATTGGGATTGGCGCTCTTCCACCACACGACCACACGACGTGCACTCTGTTATCGAACGACGGGAGTTTGTTGTCGTCGCGCACCGGCCTTGCCCGGCCAAGCAGTACGGGCACCTCATTTCTCTGTGTTTGAGAGATTGGTGTTGATTGTTTCGGCGGCTGGGCTGAGACTGAGAGAGAGCCCTGAGTCCGCCGCTCTCTCTTCTTCAGGATGGTCCGTTAGTTTGGGGGTCAACTCTCATACGACTATACCATATATGTTATTTCTCTTTTTCTTTTTCTTTATAAAGAAAAAAGAAAGATAGATTAGGGAGATTAACCTTAATGTTTTATTAACTCACTGAATTTGTTTTATTTGTGAGTTGGATTACAGAAGTTCTTGTTTGATACCAGATGCAAATTACACATTAAAAAAAGTTTGAAACTTTGTGGATTACCAGAAGTTCTTGTTACACCACACCAGTATCAAACTTTGTCTTGACTAGGATTCTCTCAATTTGTCCAAGTCACAAGTTTTTTATTTGACAGGAAAATGAACATTAGAACAGGAACTAATTGAAAATGGAGTGATACAAATATTTAGTGCTAGGATTTTACTTGCTATAAAGAACTAAAATTGGAAACTTGAAGGTGAGGCTTCAGAAATTTCTTTCAATTGAATTTATAAAAAATAATATCAAAACAAAATTCCTGCACTTTAACTCATCTACTCCACATGTTCTTTCAGTTTACCACACACATGGCAAGACTGTGATATCCAAAAATGGATGATCTAATCAAATACATAGTTTTGCCCTATGAAAACATATGAAGAAGAAGAACCGAGTATGACTGTGCACCTCAGTATCACTCACAAACTCTGGCCAGCACACAGTTGTAATTGCAGGAAAATGGAGACTTGAACCATGGTCCTCAACATTCTAGACATCATCGACCGCTCCCTGTTGAGGTCGCCAGTTCTCTACCTTTCTCTGCCTGCTTCAGAGTCTTACTAAACTCCCGTGCACTCTGGTACAAAGAACAAAACTTGTTAAAAAGTATAAGGCATATTTACATACAAAGCTATAGGCATCTAGGAAAAGATCTACAGATATTCAGAAACCAAATAGCAAGGCTTTGCTTTAATCATCAATGTACATGGAAATCATTTCTTAGTCAAGACTCAAGATCAAGATCAAGATGTCGATGTGCCAAGACTCAAGATCAGTAGGGTATGGTTCAATTACTAAGTCTATCATCCCGATCAACCAAACAACTGTACGTGGTTTTCAAAAGACGGACATATTAATTGATACTAAAAGTACTGGAACATCTGCCGTTGTGGTGGGCATCACAAGCATACATTTGCAGTTTATACCAGAAATTACAACCTGCCTTCATCCTAGGATAAATGATCGGGTTAGAGGACGACATCAATCAAAATTCAACCAGTGGAACGCTATGCGATGCTTGCTTGCTATGTGTTGAACTAGTATAAAGCATCAGTTTTACATTCCAGGTCTAATTTGTTCCCTAGGAGGCTAGTTGACTAAACCGATGTTGTTCTGTTTAATGCCATAGTGATCAGGGGTCAAAAGATTGTCATAAATTCTTTAAAATCCCAAGGAAAATCCTCTGGTTTTTCAGCATGAATTCTTTCCAAGAGTCCCACGCACAAGACCTTAATTTGTAGTTTTAGTTTTGGAATTACATAGTGCAAACACTAAACAGACAAAGCAGCAGCACCAAAGGAATGCCCAGCACAACAAATTACCGAACAAGAAAACTGAACACAATAATCTCTTTCTTTTTCCCCTTTGAACGACACACTGGGCATGAGTTGGCTTTGTGATGGTTTGCCCATCACTTAAGCAGTCTGCAAGAATGTACAATCACTCATATTTTGTGGAAGACATCATCTCATCCAAACATACACAACACGATGTCAACTTGAAGTGACTGAATCTCAACTTACTACAACAGAGGAAATTAATGGAATGTACAGATACAGATCCAACAAGATAGTTTCCAGGCTGTCACCTTTTCCAACTCTATCCATTGCCTCTAAGTTTGACGTGCAAAATGAATTCAGTTAATTCTTATAAAAAGGGTGAAAGGCAAGTATTGGCAAATAGCTTTTGTCTTTGATCACATGACAATCTGGCGTGACAAGTAAGTCTTCTTAACCCACTCAGCAACCCAAATTCCGTAAGCAAAATGGTTATTGAAATACCAAGTCCAAATTGGCCAGAAGTTTGGGTTGTCACTTGTCATGGCCTGAGTTTCTGCACCTTCTACAATCTAAAGCTGAGCAATGATAGATTTGCATTGGATTCGGACATTCACCAGGATCTCAATCGAACCAGGTGATCAAGTTCTGTGATTTAGAGTAATTACAACAGGTAAACAAAGGACCATCATCTAGATGCTAAGATGCTAACGCCAGGTATGTCTAAAGATAACCCATATTTACTTTCCACTCTTACATCATAGTCTTAAAACTTCGTATCTGCCAGACTGCCACTTAGATATCTAATACTAACATGAGGAGGCAAATGATGGTATAGATTGCCAGAAAACTATATTAGGATAAGGTAGGGATCAGAATTTAAGCTATCACCAAAGGAATTAAACAATACAAGATCAATGAAAATAATAAAACTAAAGGTAAAACAGCATTCTTCTCTTACCCTAGTGATATAAAAAGCAAGAAAAAAAGCGCAGATTATGCAGCATAAGCTTATCATCCTACTTGAATGGATTATAATGTCAAGCTCAAGTAATAACTTGCATGAGAATTCCAACTCCAACCCCACCCAAGCTTCATAACAATGAAAGCAAAGAAACGTTGCACTAGTGCTGCTATATTGCTTCCTGGGTAATCATAAACAGGTTAATTAATGGACAACAAAACAACCTATTTCCTTAATACACTTCCCAATCAAAGTACCGAAGTCCCCCAGCTAAACTAACCCATTTCACTAATTAAAAGAGCAATGCAGTCTACAGCTAATGAGCAGTGTAGCCTGCTTAACAAAGAGCAAATCAGCCTAAACAATGTCCTTGCGTAATCAAACAAAAAACACAAAAGAAAGGGGACTCACTGCAGATTGGACAGGAGGTGGATCGAGATCGACAGAGCGCACGGACATTTTAGCGATCTCGGTTATGGCTTCTTCTCGAACACCAGGGACGTCACTGGTTAACTCCTCATAGGCAGCCTCAAATGCCTCTTGCCAGAACCTGGGCAGTCTGATCCGACGGCTGTTAGTGTACACATCCCACATGTGCTTCACCACCTTCTCCCTCTCCTCCATTTCCTACACACAACAATACCCAAAATCGCCAATAACCCATCAAATCAGAGATCCAACTAAACCAACCCAGAAAACAAAAACAAGCAACAAAAATGCATAAGGGGACTGACAAGGACATCGAGATCGTCGTGAATAGGAGAGTCGAGGTCGTCGGAGAGCCGATTGAGGTTGCCGGCGGACCACCGGAGCGTGACGGTGCCGGTGAACATGGACCAAAACGCGAGCAACAAAATCGCAGCCAAAGCCCAAAACTTGTACCTGCCTTTCCCAAGTACTACACTCGAATCCGAGCTCTCCTTCTTCGCGCTGGCCGTCGTCGACGTTGGAAGGCCATCCTCATCCTTCATTGCTGATTAATGACAGAGATTGAGTTTATTTAACTTTAATTGCAGAAAAAAGTTTGAATTTTTGTTCTTGTTGGGTTTTTTCTATTTTTAGATTTCGTCTGTGAATCTTGTGCTTGGTGTTCACATTCTGATGTGGACTCAGATTTGGAGATGGAAAAAGCAAAGTGGAGGATACAATGAGAGGGAAGGAGCAAGAGAAGAGTGTTTCCTTGATGGAATTGCTGTTTCAGGGAAAGAGGTGAAGGAGTTTAAAATATGCTGTGCGGGCCACCACATTTTATTAAGTTCAATAGGGTTGACAATGAATTGGACTTGGTTTTGATGGATTGTGGCGGGGGGATTGTGGCCGTTTGATCTTTATGGGATCTCAATGACCTTGTTTTTTTTTTCTCTCTATATTTTGTCAATACAAGTCTATATTATTATATTTACCATATGGCAATAAAAAAAAGACCATACCATAAGTCTATAAATAATTGAGTGATGTGACGAATGCCATTCAATAGTAACCTTATAAAATTCTCATGCTTCTATCACTACTATTAATCTCCTTCTTCATTTTTCTTTTACATTTATTGATGATAATCCATTTAATCATCAAAGAAAGAAGGTACAGAAGAAGCTAACACGAATTCAGATTCTCTATTATGATTTTCTCTACTATAATTTGCTTGTTTTTCGTCCTCTACATGCCATATCATTAAAATTTAATTTAAGGTATTTAAACTGGACACATCATCCTTAAAGTAAAAACTCAATTTACTTAGTACATTGAGTTTTTATTTTAGTAAATTGAGTTTTTACTTTAAGGATAATGTGTCCAGTTTATATCCCTCATATTAAATTTTAATGAGGTGACATGTAGATTTCCAAAAATCAAGCAGATTATGGTAGAGAAAATCAGAGCAAGGGATATGACTCCAGCTAACACTACATTCTCATTTTTATTTTTTCAACTTGTAATTTGATGTAGGATTTATTCTATTAAAATAATTCAAAATATATGAAACGAATCAAATAAAATGTATCATCGAATGCACTACGAAGAAACATGGATTCATAAGCAGGTAAATGATTGAATTCTGCGTCGAAAAGGTCTGTATGTTAGACAAGTATTTATAGTACCGATTGTGGTATACCGAATGTCACATTGGAAATGCACTATAAATATTTATGGTACTTAAGTGAGATATATTAATCTAAGAATTACATTAAGCTAGCACTTTTAGATGAGATATTAAGTCTTTAAATGCACATATAAGATTAAAGGAAATGTAGGAAAATTTAAATTAAAAAAAAAAAGAGTACAGTTTATTTTAATTGTCAAAGGTTACAAAATCAAGCGAACAAACGTGGTCTCATCAAAATCTTGCCTCAGAAAATCCAGTGAGAAAAATATGAGATGAAGGAAAATGAGTGTCACACGCTCCATAAAGGCTACAAACGAAACTCAAAACAAAACCAAAATAACAATGTCAACTAGTAGAGACACATTAGCCTTGGAGGACCCTCTTTCAAGCCAAGCGTATGAAGAGACGCTACCTAGAGCAAACTTATCATGGCTACAATAAGACACAAATTGAAAACAAAGACAATAAGAAAATTCAACTCTATCATATGCCATATTGACATCAAGCATCACAACCACCTTTGGCTCCTTTTTTGGGTCATTGTTTGTTGACTAAAAGCTTGGGCTCAAGAGCAATAGATTATCAGGAATGGACCGGACATGAACAAAGGCGTTTTGAACACTAGAAATCATCTCAAGCAAAATAATCATCAAGAGGTTAGCTAGCGTCTTTGAACAAAAATGGGGTCTTGAGCTCTAAGGAATTGTCTTAGAGCATGGAATGTGTAGGGGTTCCCAAGCCCTCACACATTCCAATCCATTAGTCTCATTGAAATTGATGGGGTAGCCCTTTAATCCCGCCTATGTATCAATCTACAATTGAATAGTGTTCAACTCCGATTGCTGCATGTTCTCATCACCCTTTTGAGCCTTAGATACTGATTAGGTTGCTCGAGCCTTAGTCTTCCACGATAGACCTTGATGCCCACTTTGATTTGGGTTAACAATTTGAGTTGCCCCCTAACTTGCTTCACTTACATATCCGCTTTTTGAAGAGAGGATGAATTAAGGCCCATAATATTAGACTTATGACAGCTTTTTACTCCAATAATTGAGGGAGAGAAAACACCACCATTGTCAATTATATTAAAAGGAAATGCAGGATGAATGCGAATGCATTGCTGGGGAGAATTCCACAAGTAATAACATCTTTGTCTTTTTTTTTTGGCTTGGACCACAAGTAACAAGATTGATATTTGCACTTACAAGAAGACCCAAAAACAACTATAGAAGTTGGAGGAGGAAACAATGTAGTGTATACATTTGGATTCATTGTTTTGTCTTTTTCGGTCAAGAGCTGAAGGCTCAAGAATAGTCAGCCCAAAACAGAAAAACAAAGTGAAAAAAGACCAAAAACCAAAATTATTAAACAAGCCCATATTAAATACAATTGAGAGACTCTTTTTTTGTAAATACCACAAGGTGTCCCCACAAGTAATAGTGTAATTATAGTTGATGAAGGTGGGAGTTTGATAGAAGAGATTGAGAGTGTGTTCTAAAATGCTTGCTACACCGGTGGCGGGAAGGAGTGGCCCTGGCCCTCCATTTTTTTTTACCTTTCACCTATTCTTACTAATAGACAAATTGACTTTAAATTAATGGCCCTTTAAAAATAATTAAACATGACTAATTTTGAATTTTTTTTTTAATTCTAACATGTGTTTTGAACATTTATATATATATATATATAATATACTTGTATTTTCTATCTCTAACCAGTGGCTGTGCCACAGTGGGGTCGTCGGGGATGCCCGACCTCTTGGAAGCCATGAAAATAGGCTTGGAGGTCCCTTGGAACTGCTGGAGCGACCTCTTGGAGCTACACACCAAGTGCTCGACGAAATCGCTGAAAGAGAAGGCGCTGTGCTAAGCACAGTGCAGCTGTCTTTTTTATTTTTTTAAACAACTCGGGCAAAATGACACTGTTTTGGGCTAGATAATTGAAGTACCCAGCGTATTCCCCCGAACCCAACAAACATTGTGTATGCAAAGAGTCTACAAAGTTGGCAACCACAAGATGAAACAGCAGCATAACTATTACTAGTTTCGAGAACATGCCAATCGATACGTTCCCCATAATGTTTTGATATGTTTTGTGTGCACTCTTAGCTAAAGAATCATCTATATATGGAAGTTAAAGCTGGAGAGCTATCTATTTATGAACAGGCATGATCAAATCAAATGGTTGAGCGACAAACATATATGTGTTTGACTTCAAGTCAAGTAGCAATGCATTTTCATCAATAAAAAAGTGATGGGAAAAAAGTAAAGTAGCATGATCAAATGGGTATTGGACGTTTTCAGCTCGTTTTTGGGATTTCCTCAATTCTTCGATGTCTTGCTCTAACTTTTGAGTTCCTGTTATGTAGAAATTGTTTTGGCACCACATGTATATTTCCTTTGTCCTCTTGAGAATTCACATTTAATGGCTTGTGCTATGATATTTTTTAGAAAATTTGGCTGGGGAAGATTATTTAATTTTTATTGGCCATTTAACTTATCCGTGGCTCAATAATTATAGTGTACTACATCATTGATTGTTTTGTTCGTTCGTAACAATGAAATAAGATTTTTATTTTTTCCTTTCTCATGGTTTCATTAGTAAATTAAAGTTTATCTTTGTATTGAATATGCAATTTAACAGTGATTGATTACATCTGGTTGATTGTTATATGTGGAAGTACTATCTTTTTAGTGTTATTTTTTTCGCAAGATTTTTTAACATTTTTACACTGTGACCCTGTGAGGTCACAATCCTGCATCTGCCACTGTCTCGACCCCAATCTTACGATTCTAGATCCCCCTGCGCTACACAACACAAGCACTAACTACACAAGTTATCCAAAGTTGTCACGGAATGAATCCATGCATATCAAGTTAGCATCATCTCTCACATGCAGCCGCATTGTGCACAATACGAGACTTTTAATATTATTTTAAACAATTACTGGTTCAAAATTTAAGTTGATAGAAAATAAAAACGTGATATGAAAATGATGACGCAAGAGATATAAATTTACGAGACAAAGCAAATCAAATTTTGATTTAGGAGACAAGACAAGATCCGACCTCAATTCATGAGAAACAAATTATACAGAGACTGATGGAACGGGGAAAAAAAAATCCATCATGTACAATATTTTTAACATTCAGAACACAGCAATCAAATTATCACAAAGCAACTAAATTAAAAAGGCGCTGAGACACAATCCCTCGGCCCTTGTGATCTTATATAATTATCTTCTGAGTACTCAAGTTCCTCCGAATCCATCATTTCGTCGCCGTTTTGGTTAATCGAACTCACCACTGGCACCAAACCCTGCAAAATTTATGAGTTAATTAGCTCATGTAATGTGGTATCTCTAATTAATTATATATGTTCATCCATAAACCCCGCCCACCTCTGTGAAAATGCGCATTGCTTCTTCTATATTCTTTGTTTTCAACACATACCTAGCTGCCTCCTGCATATATGAACACCATGATCACCAAATTTAATTACAAATCCAGAACAAATACAAAGACACAAAGGCAAATAAATTAAAACTCATACGTAAAAACCAGAAAAAAGAAGAAGTAAAACCAACATATATATGTGTGTGTCCAGTTGCGACATGTATTCTAAGTGGTTAAGAGCAATGCTTATATATATGCACGTTTGAAAAAACCCAGAAAACATTTTTCAGCAAAAAAAAAGACCCAGAAAGTTTTCATTAAACATACCCTTGCAAACTGAATTTGATCAAACCCCAGCGTTCTTGGCTCAGTTTCTATTGATGTTTTCCTATCAATCCGTACGATTGATGAATCTTCCATCATTTAAACAGATAGAGACCGAGAGAAGAAGAAGAAGAAGAAGAAGAGACAAAGCCTAATGATATTTGTGTAGGTGTTTGAGAAAATGAAATATGGCTATAGAGGACGTAAAAGGATGGCAGGCAGGCAGGCTTTTATATATATACATTTGATTTGGTAGGTCATATGACTCATTGACTGATTGCCTCCCCAGCCAATCGCATGAAGAGGCTTGGTGTGAGCAACTTCACCACGTAATGTTACGTGGCCTGTTCCTAACCCCAATAATGCGAATACGTGGCATTCAAGGGACGGCAGGATCGCACACGTGGCGGCTGATGGTTACCTCGTCCTGATGCAGAAACTCTGTGCTGGCCGAGATCCCGACAGTTTTCCAAATCGGGGCGTTTTTCTTCGGACACCTGTCTGCATCTCACGGCACCCTACGGAGACGAATCAGGGAGGACCACGAAGACGTTTGCCGAGCTTGAGAGTTATGCATGCAAAGCAATATAAGAATATTTATGCACAGTGGCAAAGTTGTCGTTGTTGATTGTTTGTCGCTGTTTTTTTTCTTTCCAGAATAACCGACATGGATGATACAAAGTCAGAACAAATGAGTTGATAAGAATTCAAGATTATACGCATTTTATGTTTTGTCTTTTTATACCCGCGATATTTAGAGAGCGGGATTGAATACAAGATTTCGGATGCATGGATAATTGTTCTTAATCATTTGAGTTAAAAGCTCCTTGCTAATATCTCATGTTATTATTAGTTACTATATAAAGTTACGTTCTCAATGTCCAAAAACAATCTTAGAGCTAACGCGGAATTAGGCCAGTTAATCAGGTTGCATTCAAATTTGATTTCTTTATATAATTTCGGATAATATAGACAAAAACAAAACGAACTTGGACAACTAGATACTCAACTTCCACGATCAGAAACTAGCTGTATGATCTACTCTCCCAGCAAACAATGTATTCAAATTACCAAAAAATTCAATTTAATTAAGCAGCTCAAACAAAACTGTTGTTACAAAACCTTTTCATCATTTTGCCATACATATATTGCCTTCCACTCACTAGTATTTACACAAGTTTTCTTTTAGCTATCTCTTTAATTTCATAACAAAAACAAAAAAAATTATCATCTCACCCTCACCCTTGCTTCTTTATGTCACCAGGAGGCAAAAAGCTCTCCATAGTCAAACCCCAAATATTAAAATCCACCTCTTCGATCTTCCACGTCTCCTCCATCTCCCTCTTGTGGTTTGCAGACCGCTCGCCATATCTGAAAACCTTAACCCTAGTTCTCCCACTGTGAGCAATGTTGACGGAGTCAACGTACTTGTAATCTTGTATCACAGACTCAGCGCTCGTCTCCCAGAACACATCTGTGTCGTCCGCTTTGTTGGTCATCCTCAGCAGCCTCGAGTCTTCGAATTGTACGAGGAGCCCCGAGCGCTGGCTGAAGTATCCCCATATTGTGTGGTGGATTATCTCGTAGTTTGGGCCGCTCTGTGCCTCTCGAATTGCTGGGCTTGTGTCCAGCTTGAGGATGAAGCAATCATCGTCGTTTATGATCTTTTCGCCGATGCACATGGCATCTGCGAATAAATTGGCAGTGGCCCTTGGGTCTAAACCCTACAAAATGTTCATATTTCATATAATATTTGCCAGTGCCATGGTAATGAACAAGTGATAAGAGTTTATATAAATAAAAATTGCATGCACATTGACTCATCACTACATCATTAGGGGTCCATTGACCCCCTCACTACGGTGCAAATAGTTTTATTCATGATACAAAGTTTGTTAGATATTTTGTTCAAAGAAAACAAGAAAATGTTGAAGATCATATAAGTACATATATATACCTGAAGAAAACGGCGCAAGGGTCTAGGGGGGCCTTGAGAGATGGGTGTTTGTTGGTTAGACGAATGCCGCCATGAAAGCTTGCCATTGCTTCCACAGATGACCTTGCAGCCAGAAACAACAAGCTCTAAGCACCATAAGTCCGGGTTCTTTTGCCACAGCAAGAAGCCGCCGCTCTCGGCCGAGCTCCTTTTCACCTCTAGGCTCACGTCCCCTTGTTGAAAATCCGACGCACTGATCTTAACCTCGCCGGTCACACACATGCTGTTCACCGAGTTCAATGCCGCTTGGCCTCCCGTTGCAGCGGTGTACTGTTGCACTATGTATTTGGCTGTTGAAGCTTGCTGTAACATTTTGAGTCCAATTATTATTGGGATTTTAATTAAGCAAGGGAAAATTCATGATGCCTCATGTTATTTAATAATCTATAGTAATTTCGTAATTGTATCTTAGATGAAATCCATGTGACATCTCTCTGTAAATAAATGAATTTGTTTCAAAAGTAATGGAAACAAATGAACATTATAGTCATTGACATTTGTGGCACTAAAATGATGTGTTAGTATCTAGTAACACAATGGGCACGAATGACCGTGAACATGTTAACGAAAAAATCAAATATTATTAGGTCCTCCACCTTTTTTACTTGCAATCATGTGCAACAAGAAAAAATATATAACAACTATGAGAAAGATTCATGGTTCTTACAATGGAAGAATCTCTAACTGGACGGTGGATGGAATGACCCAACTGAACTTGAAGAGGGATAAGAGGAGAGCCTACAAGGTAAAGCAAGAACCGTAGCTCATTCAACCGTCCGGCGATAACCGGCGCCGACCATTTGTCGGAGGTTTGAGCCTTCATCCACGTCATCATGTTTTGCAATCGCAACTGCACATTGCTTCCCATGCTGGTGAACATCTCTTCTGGTATAGGGACCTCAAGAACAGTCTCAAGGCCATCTTCTTTATCAATATTTGGACAAAGCTTCTTCATGTGTATGTGTATGTGTATGTTACATTAAAGAGAGAAGAAAAGGGGGAAAAAAAGAGAGAGACTTAGAGTCAAGGGCTTAATTAAACACCTTGCTCTCCTTCCTCAAACCTCTGCCTGATGAGGGAAAAGAGGGAGCTATGTGGGGAAAGTGGGGTTGATGAGAGGATGGGGTGGGTGTGAATTTGCCCGAGGTTCTCCTTTTTTGTAGGTGTCATGTGGGCAAGATTTATTAATGGATTTGATTTGTTAAATTTCTATTTTAGGGGCCAAGCCATATTTGTTAAATTAAATTGAACAACGTCCTTATATTATAGTTAAGCTGAAATGGAATTATTCAATTGGATCGAATTATAATGTACGTATTCAAAATTCCATTTCAGCTAACACATGTTCACATTTTTCATCTTTATAAAATAAAACGATGAAACTAATAAATCTATAAAAGTAATAAGGACAAATATGATCCACTGCATACGAACAACTCCTTGTACAATACATTTTAGCTTCACCTAAATTTGCTCTCCAATTTACATTCTACTCATCTTTTTTTTGACTGCATTCCAACACCATTTGCAACTTCATTTCTAGAATCATAATCTCTAGTCTAGTCTTTCTCCTGAAAAAGCATTTCCATCTCTTCCAAAGATCTCCCCCCTTGGTCTCTGGCAAGAAGAAATAGAAAAAAAACCCTGCCAACACAGATATGCCTGCAAACATGAAAAAGGCCCCTCCAAGGAATATCTCTCCGATACACCGAACGAAACCCATTAAAACAACAACATTCATAATTTTGTTCACAACCACCCAAAAACTGAGTCCCTGTGCCCTAAACTTCAAAGGGAAAATCTCAGTGCTATAAACCCAAGTTACAGGCCCTATCCCAAGTGAGAAGAAAGCCACATATGAGTACTGAGCCACCTTCCCAAAGGTGCTAAAGCCTTCATAGTGCTCTGCCATGGTTAAACCTAAGCCCAATGCTGATAAAGTTACAAAAATACCCCCAATGCTTGTCAACAAGAGCTGCCTCCAACCAATTCTGTCAACCAAAAATGTGGCTACCAAGTTGCATATAATTTTTTATTTATTATGAGGTTAAATGGTAACAACCCAACTATGCAAGGAACAAAGAGCTCGCCTCTAGTGACCGTACCGTCATCGTTCAACATTCTATACACCACAACTGGTCCTATGCCCGTGGCATGTGCAAAGAAATGGATGCCAATTGCTGCAATTAAAGTTGTACGGACACAAGGACTTGGCTTCAAAACTAGCTCTTTCCAAACCCCAACACCCCTCCTATTCTCATCAACATCAAGGAGCTCCACCACATCTTCATTGCAATTTTTTTGGTCTAGGCCAGCAGCAACCATGATATCTCGAAGACGAAATTCAGCTTCCTCTTTTGTGTTCGAAACGAGTAGTAAAGTTTTCTTATAGCTTCTTCTAGACGGCCTTGCATCACCAGCCATCTCGGGGACTCTGGCATTTTCAGAAAACCAATGGCCATGGCAAGCGAAGGGACGGCTGAGATCCCACTCGCTACTGTCCAGTCAAAGCTGCGGCTTGATACAATCCCCAACATCATTCCAATGCTGATGCAAATCTCTGGTAGAGAGGTTAAGAAGCCTCTGGATTTAGGAGGTGAAATTTCGGCTATGTAAATTGGTGAAATCACAAGGGCAAAGCCCATGCCTATGCCAACAGTGAACCAGCATATATGAAGAGTCATCCTAAATATTTTCTAATGCTTTTTGGTACACCGAACTGTTGAAATCAATTTATTGTTTTGCTGCTTTCGAATTTGCCAAAAGACCTTATTTCCTCTTAGAAAAGGTTGTACATTTTCAATTTTAAACTACCTCAAATATGATCTAATGGCTGAGGAGACAGATACAAATTGTTTTCCTAATGACTAACAACAATTGATTATATTTGAGCATTAGCCAAACGCACAACTTACTATCTTTCTCTTATAAAGAGGCTCCACGATCTGTGAGAGTGTGAAGAAATGTCCCACACTGGAAAATTGATAACCACAACTTCCTTCACCTTCATGTGCTCGTTAGATAGTTTTTTGGCTTTTAGTATGTTTTTATCCATTCGAGTCCGTTTCAACTTTTAAAATATTGGGGTCCAAATAGAAACATCAATAATGAAAGAAATCCTAGGCACAATATCAGTACAAAGGGGTTCTTAGATCTAGGTCCAAAACGATTAGCCGTCATTGGGTCTAGTCCTCGTGTTTTTGGTTTTAGATGTAGGTCCTTTGACATTTATTACTTTTTTGTTGTGTCGATTTTACCCTTTAAGGTAAATAAGGAAAACACATTGAAAATCTAAATTTAATGCATTATTTCCTTGAAATTGAATTCCAAATTTTGAATTTTGAATTTTTTTTTCCTTGATAATATTCCTAATATATAGATAAAATACAATTTAATCAATAAAAAGTAAAAACTCACATATTATACCAATCGATCAGACAAGCACCCACATTAAATTATGTACCTGATATATAGGTAAATAATGTTAATACATACAGGTATATATGTACCTACCTTACAGGTAAGTGTTTTTTTCTTGAGTTTTCTTAAGCAGTTTTTTCTGGAGGTTCATATTTATATACATATGTACATGTCTTCCATGTAATAGTGTTTTTTTTTTACTACCTAGACTAGAGGTAATTTATGGATTTAATTACTTGGACCAGAGGTAATTTATGGGTTTAATTACCTGCATACTGCATACGAGGTGTATGCGTAGGTACCTTACCTATTGTTAAGGTATGAAGTTTTTATGAACTCTTATTACAAATTTTGATGTCGGTATACCTTGGGAAAATTTCAGAATTCAATAAATAGATTTGCAATTAAATTCAAATCAAATATGATAATTAATATCCTACAAATCAATAACTTACCAGTTTTAGGAATTCATAATTTACCTTATTTATGTTTTAGGTGTATAACTGGAACAAAAAATAAAAAATAAAAAAAAGTAAATATCAATAAATTGAAATAGACATGTAATCTTATGTGGCGCAAAAGTCAAAGGACTTGGATCAACAACAATTTCTGCGTGGATTGCACCCAAAATCTCTCCTCATAATTGGACTTATGCCAAATTTTCTATATTTTTTAAAAAGTTATACGGAGGTCCAAAAACAAACTTGGAAACAATTAATCTAGGCCGAGTCTTACCAATTAATAAAGCATTTGTTCACTCTCTCTTCTCTCAAATTTGACACATGCATAAGTCACAAATTTAATGACGACAGGACTTAATTTAGCACTAATTTAATGAAATCTTAAAAATTAACACTAATTTTTTTCATCTCCAAATTTAGCACTAGGTTAGAGTGGCTCTAGCCCACACATAGATCCGCCCTTGATTACAAGAAATTATAGACATCCAAATGATGTCCAACTTCCCCTAACTTGTTCAATACTTACCCATTTCCGTTTCACTATCTCTCCATATTTTACTATTTCTCTTTTCACCGCCGGACAATCACATAAGGAGAGATATAGAGAAAACGAAGGACATCGAAACATATTTTATGCATTGATTTTGGACTGAATTCCAACACCATTAATCATCAATAGCGTTTGTGCTGAAAAGCAATTCCATCTCTTCCAAAGATCTCCCCTTGACCTCTGGCAGGAAGAAATAGAAAGAAAAAAAAACCCATGCCAACACAGATATCCCTGCACAAATAAAGAAAGTCCCTCCAATCGTAATTGCTTGATACATTGCAAAGAAATACATTAAAAATGTAACACTCATAACCCTGTTCACAGCGACCCCAACAACACTCAGTCCTTGTGCCCTCAGCTTCAAAGGGAAAAATCTCTGTGCCATAAACCCAAGATATGGGCCCAATCCCAAAAGAGAAGAAAGCCACGTATGCATATTGGCTTGCAGTGCTAAAACCTTCAGATTGCTCCTTCATTATTAAACAAAACCCTAACACTGATAGAGCAATAACCATGCCCCCAGTGCTTGTCAACTTTGGGTAAGCCATTATTGTGATTATGAATATTATACTTGGATATATGAACTGTAAGATGACAATCTAATCACACCTAAAATAAATTCTTTACAAAGCTTTAGTAAAGACTATAAATCAAGAGGAGAGATAAATTACTATAGCCAAATAGAAAGGATCGATATCACTGTATTTATATGAGAAGTAAGAAAAGGCAGCTTATAATTTTTCACAGGATCGAGCATAGATTTATATCTTGTCTCATCTTAGCAACTTTTTCCTTAGATACAGGTGTAAGAGCATCTTCCAGCATATGGCTCTTTAAACCTTACCCGTAGGTTAATTTGAAGGGTTATTCCAAAAGTTTGTGTTGATTAAAAAAAATAAAAAATAATTTGTATTGTTTGAAGAGTTGTCCCCAAAAAATCAAGTCCCATATGTACACAGAGGATTGGCCACCAGCCAGCTACATCATCTCCTTGATTCTTTCTTGATGGCACAATCAATTTTTATGCATTATTGTTTTAGAAAATTTGTGCATCTATAAATTTATTGTAAATTATACTACTATTTGAGATTTTGGCTTGTACTCTTTTACTAGATAAGCAAGGTTTGTAATCTGTTTACCATATGAGCAAAGCTTGGAATCACCACATAATTAAGGTTTTAGATAAAACATAGAGTGCATTAATATTGTTTCTTTTTTAGTACAAGCGATTGCGGGAAAGGGGTTTACACAAATATTTATTGGGTGCCTTGGGGTTTCGAACCTCTGCCCACATAGGTGGACGTGGAAAAGTTCAACCAACTGAGCTATACCCTGCTAGCTAGTACATTAATTCTTGATTGCATTCATACAATACCATTTCTAGACTTATTAGTATCACTGCTTTTGCTGAAAACCATTTCCATCTCTTCCAATGATCTCCCCTTGGTCTCTGGCAAGCAGAAAAAGAAAAAGAGCCAGGCCAAGACAGCCATGCCTGCAAACATAAAGAAGGTCCCTCCAATGGTAATTGCCTTGTAAATTGACAGGAAACTCATAGAAATTGTAGCATTCGTAAGTCTGTTCACAGCCACCCCAATACTTGTTC